TTTCATAGTAAAGATGGTTTAATCCCTCTCGAGTCGCGAAACCGTTCTACATCATTTTGGCACAAACATAGACCACTTTTCAGTGTTTATGTGCATCGCTAAGCTTGATGACCGACTGACGCTTATTTTATTTGAACCGGTTTCGAAGTCGTGAATCGAATTCTTGCTTGCCTTTCTAACCTTGTTTCCTCGTCTAGCATTCGACAAAAGATACAAAACCGATACAAGGGCTTTAATTTCTTCCAGTAACGCAGTGTTCCGCTTGCGCAGCAGTCACCTTAACTCTCGTGTTTTCACCCGCAGCCTAAACACTTTTTAGGTTGCCTTGCCTTCCCGTTAGTCAAGCTAATGCAACAGGAGTTTTCTAACTATAAGACTTTTGGGGGCGAGCAGTGCTCGTTGATGTTGGAAATTAGACTCAGGACAATCGTCCAATCAACTGCACGCAATTACTGGGTCGGTTGCCTCCTCCTCCGAGTTAGCAGGGGGCGATGAACGATCAGTTTATCACGAAGATAGAACATTTTTCAATGCCCGCATGAGATTTTTCATGCGCGTCACTCTTCTTTCTGGAAAAAAAAATAATGCTAATCATACTGAATTCGATCGTTTGTTAAGATAGGTGAAAGGTTTGCTATCTCTTTAGGCTTGCTTTAAAGCCAGATCCTTGGCATTTGGTTGCTACAATTATACCAATGTTCTCCATTATCACATTACTCTTTTATTCAATTCTCAAGAGCACTTTTTTGCTCCCCTTACAAGACATCAATTCACGTTGGCCAAGTGAATCGCAATACTTTTTTTGGGGGGATTGTATTACTGCAACTAGTACAAACCACTTTGACTTTATATGTTACTCGTGGATGAAGAAGTGTGAATCTACTTTGTTTTTTTCCACAATTTTGCAACTTATTCGGTGCTTACAAAACATTGCAAGTAAATGGTAATGGTCGAACTTCACGTCTGGATTACAATCAGAATTAGCTGTTATGATCCTGCCCTTTTGCCAGAAATTTTGAGAACTCAGTAGCCTGTCATTTATTTTTGCCAATCGGACAAGGATCGTTACGTCATAGAGTTGCGATTTAAATGGTAAGATCGTGCCCTCATCACTATGCGGCAGACCATTTCGATGGTCAGCTCGTCTAACCAACCTAGTTCGATGGCATTCTGAATTTTATTGTCGTTCCAACCATTATCTGATCACCACTACGTTCCCTGAATCTCCATTCATGAGTCTGCGGTGTCATAGCAACCCACTTCCAAGTAAGCCAGCCTGAAATCTCCATCGACGTATTCACTGCTGGACAGAGTAATAAAACCTGGACGCTCATTGTTCAGCTGGCAGATGCTAGTTATAGCAGCCAAAATTACACTGACCTTAGTCTACGCAAACATCGTGTCTGTGGCCCAGAGCAAACCATAAACATAGAGACAAACTTTAATAATAGATAGAACACGTTGGAAATGATCTTCTTTTTTCTTCTACCTTCTAGATCGAGACAAGGCGCGATCCTTGATCGCTCAGGCGGCTGTAGATCTTGCTGTGCATACCTACGACACTTCGGAGGTGTAGAGGATTTTGTTTACACTCTCATCCACCCTGTCGAGGTTGTGTTAATCCTAGATCCATGCTATGTTCTTCTTAGGCCTCAAAATTCGACTGAACCGTGGTTTTGCTGCGCTTTCACACCAGGTTGCTCGTTAAGAATAACCGATTTTATAAATGGCTTATCACATCAAACACATTATTGGGTACAGGAAGGCCATTTTTTCCTTTTTGCACGATTTATCTACTTCATTTTGGAAACTCTGTAAAAATTCACTGGTACAATAACGAATTCTTAAACGTCTGCTTAACTGATTTTGCAGGTGAAATGAAATAAAGGCCAGATTGAGCCGCATGCAGCTATTTCAGACTCTTTCGTTAACCCTTGAACGCTTCTCAAGGTGCGATTGGTATTAAGTTCAGTCGATGCTCATATAGGCCAATTGGTTCTAACGCATCTATCGTGTGAACAACTAGGTGTGGATCGACGTTGGTTGTATGAATTATTGCTTTGATCAAGTACAATTTTGCAAGCATCAAAGGAAGGATTGACACTCAGCGCAGAGAGGTCACCCATATTGTTGTATCGAAATCGCCATAGGAATTAAATCACTCTGTCTGAAATTCCCGCAGCAGAGCTTGACTCGAACCATAGTTTTTCTCCAAGTTCCAGCTGGCTAGCGCGGAGGACTGTGCTAAACGGTTTCGCACGAAATAAACCACGCTGATCCTTTTACCAAGTGCGCGTAAGACTGATCTAATGCACACAATGCTCCGATGAGGATTCTCAAAATAATTCCAGGGGATAAACATCAGCAACGGGCGGAAAATTTGGGCAAAATTAGCAAACCGGCGTTGCTAACATAATGTCCTTGTTTTGTGCACGAATTGAAAAGATAATCAAACAAAGGCGTAAAAAATTCTTTAAGGTAGTATTTTCTTGTCGAGTCAGAGCCTGACTTTATCAGCTTCTAGCCACATTTAGCTGTAGCCTAATCATTCTTATGAAATTTATTAAAATAGGCAATGAGTAACCATTCATCCCTCCCCAAAATATAAGTGAGAGCAGTGAAAATTTACTTAAATGAATTAGTTCTACTTAAATTAGTACTAGACATCATCAAACAGCCTATAAAAGATAAAAAGTCCTGACCAAACGCACTAGTCCTGATGTTTTATAAATATTTTTGAAAGCCATTTGTCGTTACTTGGTGCGTTCACTTTTGAGTATGAGCGCCGAATCTGAGCGGGTGTGTTCAGATTGTGCAGAGTTTATGCTGTTAGCGTGTCACATTTTAGATATTAATACAACGAAAAATTTGTTTAATGCCCAGGTGAACGCTTATTTGGAGTTGAAACTATGATCATGGTAATCGCACCGGTGCCTTTGCAGTTTCATTTTAGGATTTTATGTTTGGTTTAGTACGGCGTTATCTTCACCAATTTTACTGGATCGTCTCTTTTGCTTGTTTTCTAAAGTTTATTTTTGAGTTAGTATATTCCTCTGTAATCTTAGTGTGACTACATTTATTTTCACCTCATACAATCTCATTGTGAATGTGGTAATTAGAATTGTTAGGAATGTTGTGCATAATAACGAGAATGAAGGGCTTTACCACCGACTTTTCCTGATTGTAATAAAATGGGCACCGTTATTGAAATGACTGAAGAATGCTCCAACAATACATTTCTTTGTGCGAAGCAACTGCTTGAAATAACTTATGCTTTGTGTGTTTTATTGATGCCTAGATCAAGCATGTGTGATTTGCTATAAATGCTGCCTTGCTAGCAATATTCCATCGCTCTTGAAATGTGTATCCTTTTTAGAACATTATTCAGGTTTCTCTGGCCCATGTCTGACTTACATGTGATCGTGGCAGTTTATATTTCCCGTCACAAAACTTTGCAGGTTTTTTTGAATCTTTGCCGTCACGTATTTCATATGCTTACTCGTGTTGAAACGGTGGGTTCATTTCCATCATGTAAAGCGTCCGTCTTATCGATTACTTCCGCTAATCCGTCCTCACTTTTCGCGGTGCAATGTCACCGATGTTGTTCTAAAGGTGCCTCCAATTCAAGAGTCTTTTGGATTATGGTGCCGACCAGGACATTCTTGAGTCTGACTAACTCATTGGCTTCAGTAGATGGGGAATTATGCTCCGTTGTTCTTCCGTCACTCAATGGTGTCTATGAGATCGACCGTTCTGGCTATCAAGTTGTGGCTCACCATTTGTGCAGGCACATACTTCTTCAGGAAGCCATGTCATGGCTTAGCACTCTAGGTGGTGGGTTCTCCTGTCTTGGAGAAAAGTTTGAGGATGCGGTACGCGGTTTCTCTTCATTCATAGCAATTGATTCATTCAAGCATCGCAAACAGCTTTATTTTTTGTTGTCAAGGCTGAAATTGCCGGAGAAATATCATTGCGTCAGATGTATTTGGCAATTTCAATGAAGATTCCCGTTTTTCAAGCTCGCTGCAGACTCTTTTTTGCACAAAGTCTTATGCAGCGTGGGCGACTCAAAGCGGCTGAACTTATAATTAGGTAAATATCATAAAAACACTTTACTATCATTTACTTCAGTAGCAAACTAATATTACTATATGGTAATTTTTATGGCGCTAGAGATGTCTATTCATTTTCCAAATCTGCCTCTCTCTACGATAATCCGCCGGAAGTCCATCTGGATCTAATGTGTCGGGGAATTTGGAAGCGCCTCTCTCACCTCTGGTCCATTCGGCGTTCCTCGAGGCATCGGACCCAGCGATTGCAGCTCCATCTTCAAACCAATGAAATTGGCATATTGCCCTTCTCAGAGCAACCTCTCAGCACAATGTGTGATTTTACTGACACTTACAATAGAAGGCTATTTCCAGATATAACAGCTGTTCTCAAACTTATGTGAATTTTTTTGTAATTCTACACTTAGTGTGAAGTGGAATCATCACTTACCACACACATTCACTTATTGAATAGAAGTAGGTGTTAAGCTGTCTTTTATGATGTTTAGCATTCTTGACGCTATTATCGGATTGGTAATTTTCCATAGTATTAGACACTGGTGCATTTTGATGATACATGCGGCTGATGTCGCAAATAGCGAAGGGTTGTCTTAAGGAAAGATTTATCAAACCTGCACAAAGATGAATAGGATCCTATGGTGCTTTAATGTTTGCAGAGCTGAAACGAATGGATATTGACCGAAAACTGCCTGGTCAAGAATATGGTGTGTAGATTAGAGCTTGATGGTACGAGTTAGCTGGTGTCGTTGACCTGCTTCATTAGGG